TGTCCCCGCGCTGTCCCCGTGGCACAGTTCCAGCTCTGGGCTGCTCAGAGTTGGGAGCAGGAAGGAAAAATGTGAATTCTTCTTTGCAGGGATCAGCCCTGGATATTCCTCGCTTTGCAAAGGGATGGGAGAGCCCGGGGAGGGGAAAGCAGAGCAGGGACAGAGGGAAAGGCAGAGAGGGAAAAACCAGAGCAGGGACAGAGGGAAATCCACAGCAGGGACAGAGGGAAAAAACAGAGTAGGGACAGAGGGAAAGGGAGAGCAGGGACAGAGGGAAATCCACAGCAGGGATAGAGGGAAATCCACAGCAGGGACAGAGGGAAAGGCAGAGCAGGGACAGAGGGAAATCCACAGCAGGGATAGAGGGAAAAGCAGAGCAGGGACAGAGGGGAAAGCAAGAGCAGGGATAGAGGGAAAGGCAGAGGAGGGACAGAGGGAAAGGCCCAGCAGGGACACAGGGCAAGGCAGAGCAGAGACACAGGGAAAGGCCCCCAGGGACACCATTCCCAATCCCTTCCCCACTCCCCAGGGGACAGGCTGATGTCCAGGCTCCCAGGACAATCCAGCCCAGGTGACAGAGCTGCCTGTGGGGGCTGTGACTGCCCCACAAACCCCAGGGCACCAGGGAGTTCTCAGCATTTTTTTTTTGGCAGAAAATTCCCCTTTTCTCCACCAAGAAAGCCCCCAGGTGTGCTGGGAGCATCCCCAGCACGGATCTGCCACCCCAACACCCTCGGGGGGTCCCCAGCACCTCCCTCCCAGCCTGGGCTGCCCCCCCAGAGCCCAGCAGGGATTCCTGGGCTCTCCAGGCTGGCAGCAGATGGTGGAAGCTTGGGAGCCCCCTTCAACCTCCTGAGCCCCTCCTGGCTCTGCCAGGGACAGGGACAGGGACAATCCTTGGCAGAGCCACCCCCAGCAGCTCCCGGGCTCAGGGGGTGCCAAGGTGAACACAAGGAGAGCCCCAGCTGGAAATTTGGGATCCCTGCCCTCAAAATCCCAGCTCTGGCAAGGCTGGAGCAGCAGCTGAGCCCAACTGGGGGCCACACACGAGGAGGGCTGGCTGGGCTGTCACTGCTGTCACCCCCGGGGGTGGCACGGAGGATCCTGTCCCAGCCCTCCCTGCAGCCCCAGCTCCCATATCCCAGCCAGGAGGATTTTCCAGCCCCTTTCCCCCTCCCTCGGTGGGTCTGGGTTGGGCTGGGGGCTCTGGAAGGCCTGAGGGTCCCCAGGCCCCTCCTGCCCTGGAGCAGGGGACAGTGGCAGGACGGGGGACAGCGGCAGGACAAGGGACAGGGGAAGGACAGTGGCAGGACAGTGGCAGGATGGGGGACAGTGGCACGACAGTGGCAGTGGCAGGACAGTGGCAGGACGGGGGACAGTGGCCCTGCTGTCCCCAGGAGCTGAAGCTGGGGCTCAGCTGAGGTTCAGGGCCTCCCCCACCCGGCACAATTCCCCCTCTCCCCAAAATTCAGGATTCACCAGCGCTGCCAAGGAGCTCCAGCACAGACAGATTTGAGGAAGTGACATTCTTTCCTCAGCTCAGATCTTCATTTTCCCCTTTTTTTGGTTTTTTTTTTTTTTTTTTTTTTTTTTTTTTTTTTTTTTTTTTTTCTGGTTTTTGCCCCCCTTCCCTCCCTCCCCTTGCACAACAAACCCGCCCTGAGTTGCTCAAGCGAGCAGAATTGCTCAACCTGCCCCAAACCCCAGCCTGGGCCCAAGCTGTCACCCCACAGGTGACACTTTCCCCCAGGAAGCATTCCTGGCTCCCAGAATTAAATAAAAAAATTTTTAAAAAATTTTTAAAAAAATTAAAAAAAAAGAAGACAGAAAAATAAAGAATTAAATTAAAAAATAAAGAAAATAAAATTTTAAAAAAGAAAAATAAAGAATTAAATTTAAAAAATAAAGAAAATAAAACAATTTTTTTAAAAAAGAAAGAAAAATAAAGAATTAAATTCAAAAATAAATAATTAAATTTAAAAAAAAAACAAAACCAAAAACCAACAAGGTGGGTTAGAGAAGGGCCTGGACGGAAATCCAACTTCCTCCAAATGGACAAATCCCTCCTTGCATCATTTCCTTCTCCCCCAGAATAACTTCTGTGTCCTTTCTGAAGGGCTGAGCTGCTGCCAAGCACCCCTGCCCGAGGAGGAGGAGGAGGAGGAGGAAGCAGAGCCCTGGGAATGTGAGCCAGCTTCCTGCTGGGATGGCCCCGGGCCACCAGGATGTCCCATTGTCCCCAGGCTGCTGAAGAAGCTCCCCCGGCCCTGCTGTGCCCAGCCTCCCTCTGCTGCAGGGGCTGGGAGAGAGCAGGGGTGAGCACAGAGGGGAAGGAGCAGCTCTGGGGTGTGGAAATCCAGATTTAACTCCCTCAGGTCCCACAGTGAGGGTGAATCCTTCAGATCCCTGGATATTCTCTCTTTATGGGAGCAGGATGTGCCCCAAAAAGGGTTAAAATCCATGGAAATCCAGGGAGGAGGGCTCTCCATGGACAATTCAGATTTAACTCCCTAAACCAGGGTGAATCCTTCAGATCTCTGGATATGGTCCCTTTACTGGAGCAGGATGTGCTCCAAAAAGGGTTAAAATCTATGGAAATCCAGGGAGGAGGATTCTCCATGGGCGTGGAAATTCAGATTTAACTCCCTAAACCAGGGTGAATCCCTCAGATCTCTGGATATTTTCCCTTTACTGGAGCAGGATGTGCTCCAAAAAGGGTTAAAATCTATGGAAATCCAGGGAGGAGGATTCTCCATGGGCGTGGAAATTCAGATTTAACTCCCTCAGGTCCCACAGTCAGGATGAATCCTTCAGATCCCTGGATATTTTCCCTTTACTGGAGCAGGATGTGCCCCAAAAAGGGTTAAAATCCACGGAAACCCAGGGAGGAGGGTTCTCCATGCCCTGGGATCTCCCAGTGCCTCAGTTTCCCTCCCTCAGGCTGCTGCTGCCTCTGTGCAGCCCTTGGATAAGAAACAGGAATAAACCCCAGCTCTGCTGAGCGCTCACATTCCCACCAGGAGAGAAGAAAACGACCCAGTTTGCCTGGAAAAGCCGAAAAAAAAAGCACTTTTGACCCCCAAAATAAAATAATTTTCATCCATATCGACGTCATGAAGCATCCAAGAGCAACCCAGGGATGCTGGGAAGGGAAAAAAAAAAATCAACCCATTTATTTTCTATCTCCTTCCTGGATGGAAGGAGAATCCCAGGAAGGATCAGGAGGGAGGAGCAGGGAAAATCAGCAGGAATGAACCTGGGAATGAGGGGGAAGCTCCAGGGATGCTCCTCACCTGCTCCAGGCTGAGCTGGGAACAGCAAATCCTCACCAAAAAAATCAGATTTAAACCCAGCTGGGTGCTGCAGGGGTCACCGGGAGCGGCTGTGGTGTCCCTCAGGGATTGGGACAGGACTCAGCATCCCCATCCCTCATCAGCTCCTAATTAAGGCAATCACCACCCACTAATGACTTCAGGTTCTGGAGGGGATTTTCCCCAGCCTTGGGAAAAACCGGGTTCAGCTCAGAGCTCTGCAGTTCCCAGCAGTGCCCTGGGGTCACACCTGACAGTTCTGGGGGTTCTGCCCACCTGGGGCTCAGATCAGCCCCCCCAAAATCCCCAGAGCTGCTCAAGGGGGAGATGAGTAACCCTGAGAAGCCCTCGGGGTCCCCAGGGATGTTCTGTCACCGAGGGGAGGTCACTGCTCCCTCCTGGGGCCCCCAGAAAAAGGCTTTTCTCCCATTTCCTCCCTCCTGAGGCCCCAAAAAAAGGGCTTTTCACACTGCTCCCTCCTGAGGCCCCAAAAAAGGGCTTTTCTCCCATTTCCTCCCTCCTGAGGCACCAAAAAAGAGCTTTTCTCCCATTTCCTCCCTCCTGAGGCACCAAAAAAAGGGCTTTTCTCACTGCTCCCTCCTGTGACCCCAAAAAAAGGGTTTTTCTCCCATTTCCTCCCCTGTGGCTGAGGCTGAGCTCGCCTCAGCCAGTCTGAGGTTTGGATCTCAGAGTTTTTATCAGACACCAGCAGAAACATTTGGCCTTTCAGAGCCTCAGAATGGAACTTGCTGGATGTAGGATGAGGAATGAAGGGGCAGAGCAGGAATTCCACTCATCCCCACCAGCCTGGAGCACCCCCTGACCTCCCCAGCTCACAAACCCCTCACACCCATTTTGCTGCTCCACTCTGCACCTCAAATCTGATTTTTCCTGCTGCTGTGGAAGTGAATCTCTCACATTCCCAAAATTTCTGCAGCTGGGGGGAGGCAGAGCTGCCTGACCCTGAGCTTGGAGATGTCCCTGGAGTGACAGCCCAGGGCTGGGACAGGAAACTTCATCCACAGCCAGGAGGGGACAACTGAGGGACAATTCTGCTGCCCAACACAGGGAGGGTGGAAAATCCTTCACCAGGGAGAGGGGAATGCAGAGGGATGGGATCAGGGGATGCCAGGCAGGAGCTGGGCACTGGGAGGGCACCAGAGCTGTGAGTCTTGGAGATGAAACTGGAGTGACAGCCCAGAGCTGGGACAGGAAACGTCATCCACAGCCAGGAGGGGACAATCCTGGAGCATGTGGAGGATGGAAAATCCTTCACCAGAGAGAGGGGAATGCACAGGGATGGGATCAGGAGATGCCAGGCAGGAGCTGGGCACTGGGAGGGCACCAGAGCTGCCTGACCCTGAGCTTGGAACCTTGGAGATCAAGGTTCAAGGTCCAAAGTCCAAGCTCAAGATTCCTTGGAGTGACAGCCCAGAGCTGGGACAGGAAACTTCTTGCACAGCCAGGAGGGGACAATTCTGCTGCATGTGGAGGATGGAAAATCCTTCACCAGAGAGAGGGGAATGCACAGGGATGGGATCAGGAGATGCCAGGCAGGAGCTGGGCACTGGGAGGGCACCAGAGCTGTGAGTCTTGGAGATGTCACTGGAGTGACAACTCAGAGTGACAGCCCAGAGCTGGGACAGGAAACTTCATCCACAGCCAGGAGGGGACAATTCTGCTGCATGGGGAGGGTGGAAAATCCTTCATCAGGGATGTGGAGGATGGAAAATCCTTCACCAGGAAGGAGAGGAATGCACAGGGATGGGATCAGGGGATGTGAGGAAAGGGGCACAGGGAGGGGGCACACGGAGGGGGCTAAGGGAGGGGCTCAGGGGTTACCAGCAGCTCCTGGGGGGTGATGGAGTTGTCGGTGTAGATGCAGAGCTTCTCCACGGTCAGGGGCATGGTTTCCCTCAGCTTGGAGGCCAGCAGCATGCACACAGCCCCCAGCAGCTGCAGGTGGTTCTTCTGCACGGCCACCGAGGCCAGGTAGCGATCCACGTAGTTCATGGCCAGCGGGAACACCTCCTCCTCACACTTCTGCTCCTCGCACACCTGGGCCACACACACACCAGAGAAAAGCAAGTTTTGGTGAGAGGACAGAGCTCGGCACAGCTGCTGCTTCACACTTGTCACGAGGAGCTGCAGGCATGGCCCCCGTGGTGTCTCTGAGGCTTCACCTTCCTGCAGCGAGCAGCAGGAGCTGGCTGCAGCTCCAAGGAGCGCAGGATAAATCTGAATTTGCCCCTTTTGGCCCCGTTTCTGCTGTGCCCTGCTGGGGGTGGCTCCTGCCAGCTGCCACCCCTGCCCTGGGGAGCTCTGGAGCAAAGAGCAGCTCCAGCTGGAGGGTGGAAAAAAGGATCCAGGGCTGCCAATTCCACCTGCAGCGCTCCAAGGACACGAGGAGAATCAATGACAGCGCCCAAATCGATACCAGGTCCCCAAAGTCCCCAAAGTCCCCTCCTTCAGCCACCAGCAGAGCCCAGCAGCTCCAAACTTCAGCCCTCTGCTCTTATCTGCCACCAGCACCGCAACACTTGTCACGCTGCACTTCCTCCTTTCGACAGAGCCATAAAAACCTTGCGGTTTCTGCTCCTCCTGCAGCGAACGCCACCCTGTCCCTGCTGCCAGCAGCGGCTGGCCCGGCCGCGGGGACAATGACACGCAGCTGGTGACATCGCCACTGTCACCTCGCTGCCTCCGGGGCTGCACAGGAGCCGCTCCCAAAGCGGCGTTTATCTACCGGCCCTTCTTCGAAAAGGGACTGCGGGAACGGAGTGACAGCAGGCGGGAAAAATCCCTTGGAAATGGAAATATTCTGGATTTCTTTGGAAGCGCTGCGCGCAGCGCCGGCTGGGGACAGGCAGGAGCCAGCCCTGCGGAATTGTCATTTATTGAGACTCTTCCCTGCGATCCCCCCAAGGAGATCCCCCTGCCCCCAACTCCACGCCGCAGATTTATTTTTAATTTCGGGAAGTCAACAGCAGCGTTATTATTCCCCTTTGAACCAGCGCCGCTCGCAGCCCCAGCCCCGGGAGCTTTTGGGGGATCTCTCATCCCTTGATTTTGGGTTTGTGGAGGGTGGAAATCCCAACTTTACCACAACTGAGAGCGAGTTTCCCCCTCCACCCCCACGGGCATCACCCCCGGCACCGCAGCGCTGCTGGGCCCGGCTGTCCCCGCACCCCACGCGGGGTTTTGGGGCAAACCCGCAGCATTCCGGTACCTCCAGCATCCAGAAGGCCAACATCTTCCGCATGTAGGGCTGCACGTCGCGCTGCACGCACTGGAAGTAGGACACGCGGGGGCTGTAGCGCTCCTCCAGGCTCAGCAGGTTCTGCAGCACCCGCCGGTCCCCCAGCAGATGCGGGTCCCGCCCGGCGCGGGGGGTGCGGGCCGCGGATTCCACGCACAGCAGCTCCATGGGGGGATGGCAGGGGCTGCGGGGACGCTGCGGGGACACGCGGGGACACTCGGGGGCGCTGAGGGGGCGCGGGCGGAGCGAGGCGCCGCAGCCACCTCCGGCTCCGCCGCGGGCCGCCGGGAACTGGCGGCGTCCCCGCTCCCAGGCGTCTGTCAATCCCTATAACTTTTTTTTCCATTTTTTTCCTTTTTCCCCCCCTTTTTTATTCATTTTTTCCTTTTTTTTTTAAATTTTTCCCCCTTTTTATTATTTTTCCCTTGTTTTCATTTTTTCTTTTTTCCCCGTTTTTCCTCTTTTTTTTTCATTTTTATTCCTTTTTTCTTTCACTTTTCTCCCTTTTTTTGCCTTTTTGCCTTTTTTCCTTTTTTTCCTTTCCCCATTTTTTCTTTTTATTCTTTTTTTCTTTTCCCCCATTCCCCTCCCTTTTTTATTTTTTCCTTTTTTGATCTCATTTCTTCCAAGACTATGGAATAATCAGCTGTGCGCACGTTTGCCGCCTGCCTCCTTCCAAAACCCTGCTGCGATAAGGAGCGCGGGGGGCGCTGCCGAGATAAGGCTCTGCCAGCCCAAAAATTCCCAATTGTTCGGGAGCCCCTTTGAAAAGCACCGGGCTGCTCGAAGGAATTCGAAATAGTTTTGTCATGCGGCTTCCCCAGCTCTGCTCCTCCTTCACCCGCTGGAATTCCTCACCGGCCTGGGAAGTTGTGGCTCCTTCCCTGATTTTGGTCCCTGCCTGCAGAAGCTGCGATTTTGCTGCTGGAAAGTGTCGGAAATCAGCATATAAATGTCGTGTTTTATATATAAAATTAAATTCTATATAGTAAATTTATATTCTTGTATATTAAATTTATGTTTTTGTATATTAAATTTATATTTTTATATAGTATATTTATATTTTATACATTAAATTTATATTTTTATACATTAAATTTTATATATTATATATTAAATTTCCATTTAATTTTTGCCATTTATGCCATTTAATTTTTGCCATTTATGCCATTTAATTTTTGCCATTTATGCCATTTAATTTTTGCCATTTATGCCATTCAATTATTGCCATTTATGCCATTTAATTTTTGCCATTTATGGCACGGATGGTGAATTTTTTTAATGTGGATTTGCAGCGCTGAGAAGCCCAAGGATGATGCAGGGAAAGAAAAAGGGGAGAGAATTCCATCAATGACAAAAAAGGGAATTTTTCTGGGCGACATCGCAACTCCCAAAAATCTCCTTTTCGCCTCACAAAGAAATCTCCCAGGGGAAGGAAATATTTGAGGAATTCCCTGTGGATCAGGGAGCTGCTTTCCCCCCAGGGTGCAGGGGAAGAGAAGAAATCCCACATTTTGGACAAAACCAGCAACTTTTGACTCCAGCAAAGCCAAACCTTTTGGGCCTTCTGGTTTTGGGGCTGTTTCTTTGGAAATTGAGAGTTTCAGGGTGGGTTTTTTTTGGTTTTTTTGTCCCAGCCTTGCAGGGTTTGCTGCTGTTCCTGGTGTTTGTGGGGTGGTGGTGGTTTTTTCCCCCAAAAAAAGGGGGAAGGGAGCGTTGCACAAGCTGCTGTTCCCTCCAGTGATGACTGGGCAGAAGTGGAGCCTCTGCAAGCCGGGCTGGAAATGCAAAAAAAAATTAAGAGTGCAGCATCCTAAAATGCCTAAACTGTGGGTGTGGGGAGGGAAACGGGGGGAAATTCCAGGAAAACCAAATTTTGGTCACTGCTGGACGTAGATAGGAGGTTTCCTGGCTTGGGCAGTGTTAAAAAAGGAAATTCCTTGGGAGTAAAAATGACAAAAAAAACCAAAAAAACCCCAAACCCTGGATGGCTTCCAGGAGCTGGGCAGGGTGAGGTTGGTCTTGGCTGAATCATAAAATTGGGATTGTTGTTTTGGAATGTCGGTGATGAGGGGAAAAGTGGGAGTTTTCCAAGGGATGGATGTGGGGCTGGTGGAGCCTGGGGTTATTTCTCCGTGTTCCTGGAATTGCTGGGGCTGGAAAATCCCTCCGGGATCACCCAGCCCAGCCTGGGATTGTCCCCAGCCTGGAGCACTCAGTGCCACGTCCAGGGATTCCTTGGGCACCTCTGGGAATGGGGATTCCAAATTCCTCCTGATTCCATGAGGAAAATCCTCCTGATCCCATAAGGAAATTCCTTATTCCATGAGGAAATTCCTGCTGATCCCTTAGGAAAATTCCTCCTGATTCTGTGAAGAAATTCCTGATCCCATGAGGAAAATCCTCCTGATCCCATAAGGAAATTCCTTATTCCATGAGGAAATTCCTGCTGATTCCATAGGAAATTCCTCCTGATTCCATAGGGAATTCCTCCTGATCCTGTAGGAAAATTCCTCCTGAGTGTATGAAGAAATTCCTCCTGATCCCATGAGGAAATTCCTCCTGATTCCACAGGGAATTCCTCCTGATCCCATAAGAAAATTCCTGTTGATCCCATAGGAAATTCCTCCTGATTCCATGAGGAAATTCCTCCTAACCCTGTAGGAAAATTCCTCCTGATTCTGTGAAGAAATTCCTGATCCCATAGGAAATTTCTCCTCATCCCATGAGGAAATTTCTCCTGATTCCATGAGGAAAATCCTCCTGATCCCACAGGGAAATTCCTGATCCCATGAGGAAAATCCTCCTGATCCCAGAGGGAAATTCCTGCTGATTCCACGTGTCATTTCACCTGATTTTTAGGAAATTCCTGATTCCATGAGAAAATTTCTCCTGATTCCATGAGGAAAATCCTCCTGATCCCAGAGGGAAATTCCTGCTGATTCCACGTGTCATTTCACCTGATTTTTGGGAGCATTCTCTGCCTTCCTTTGTCCTTTTGGCAGCTGTTTGGTGCCTCAGTTCCCTTTTCCCCAGGAAATCTCCAAGGAATTCTCATTTTCATTGACTCAGCCTCGGAACCGGAGCGAGGCATCCCCAGGGGAACTCTCGTTTCTGCTCCCAAATCTGCATTTCAGAACCAGAATTCAGCTGGGGAAGACATCAGGAGAGAAAGAAAGAAAGGAAAAAAAATAAAGAAAAAATGAAGAAAAAAAAAATAAAGAAGAAAAAATAAAAAAGAAAGAAAAAAGAAAATATAAAAGCAAAGCTGAAACCAGAATTTCAGAAAACAAACCGGGCTTGGAAAGCCCCCGGATGGGATAAATTTAGGTCATTTCAGGGGATTGTCTGTGGTCACCAATTATGCAAAAAGTGAAAAAAAAATCCCCCACTGCCCTGATGTTTTACATCTAAAATTCAGCTTTTTTTCCACGCCCCTGCCCTGTCCATCCTTCCTGCCCTGATCTCGCTGCCGAGGGAGATTCCATGGGTTTGGGTTTTTGGAATATTTTAAATATTTCATATATTTAATTTTTTTTTTTAATATGAAAAGAAGAATTTGAGGTTGCAGGTTTTTAATGGGTTTAAAAAAATATATATAGATATTTTTTCTTTTTTATGTTGGGAGCTTGGGGGTCCTCAGAGGAGGAGCACAAAGGGAATTTCCTGGGATTTGCTGGAGGAAGGAGCAGCCCTGGGGAGAATCATTCCCTGTCAGGGCAGGGCTCAGAGGGCTCCTGAAGGAATTCCTGGGAGAATAATTTAATTTATAAGCTGAGCTCAGGACAGGGTGAGGGGGTTTAAGCTGCAGCCTGGGCAGGACTCTCAGGAGAATCATTCCCTGTTCAGGGATGGAGGGAATACTGAAGGATTTCCTGGGATAATAATTTTTTATTCTGGAAGAATGAGTTTTATTCTGGGAGAATAATTTTTTTTTTTTTTTTTATTCTGGGATAATAATCCAGGGAAGTTTTGGGGTTTTGGGAGATGAACATCTGGTGAAATTTGGGGTTTTGGGAGACAAATATCCAGTGAAGTTTGGGGTTTTGGGAGATTGACACCCAGTGAAGTTTTGGAGTTTTGGGTGGTGAACACCTTGTGAAATTTGGGGTTTTGGGAGATATGGAGGGAATACTGAAGGATTTCATGGGATAATAATTTTTTATTCTGGAAGAATGAGTTTTATTCTGGGAGAATAATTTTTTTTTTTTTTTATTCTGGGATAATAATCCAGTGAAGTTTTGGGGTTCTGGAGGATGAACATCTGGTAAAGTTTGGGGTTCTGGGAGATGAGCACCTGGTGAAATTTGGGGTTTTGGGAGACGAATGTCTGGTAAAGTTTGGGGTTTTGGGAGATGAACACCCTGTGAAGTTTTGGGGTTTTGGGAGACAAACACCCGGCTTATTTTTTCCACGTGTCATTTCACCTGATGTGAAATTTTGGGGTTCTGGAGATGAACACCCAGTGAATTTTGGGGTTTGGGGAGATGAACACCCAGTGAAGTTTTGGGAGACAAATATCCAGTGAAATTTGGGATTTTGGGAGGCAAACACCCGGTGAAGTTTGGGGCTCTGGAGATGAACACCCAGTGAATTTTGGGGTTTGGGGAGATGAACATCTGCTAAAATTTGGGGTTTTGGCTGGGAAATCCTCGGCACACGCTGGCACAGCCCCGGCTCAGGAGGGCGAGCAGCATTTCACTGTCCCCACTTGGGTCTGGGGTCCTGGGGGGCTCCGAGCTGCCCCAGCCCCGGGGCAGGATGCGGAGGGGCTCCAATTCCAACAAAAGCTGCGGCTCCAGCAGAGCCGGGAGCAAATCCTGCCTGAACCCCCCAAACCCCCCCGGCGCTGGCAGCAGCGGCAGAGGAAGCAGATCTGGGTCTCCTGAGCTGGGCTGCGAGCCTGGAGAGGTTTCCTGGAGACACCAGCACAGCCCTGGCAATGTGTGACCCCTCTGCTGTCCCCAGCGCTGCCAGCAGAGCTGGCTCTGCCACTTCCTCTGGGCTGCCACCGGCTGCTGGCACGGGGACAGGGACACAGCCTGGGGGTGTCCCCTGGGGGGTCTCAGGGACAGGGACAGAGCCTGGGGGTGTCTGGGACAGGGACACTCAGCCTGGGGGTCTCAGGGACAGGGACACTCAGCCTGGGGGTCTCAGGGACAGGGACACTCAGCCTGGGGGGTGTCCCCTGGGGGGGTCTCTGGGCAGAGCCTGGGGAGTTCTTGGGGACAGGGACAGAGCCTGGGGGTCTCAGGGACAGGGACACTCAGCCTGGGGGGCTCTCAGGGGACAGG